CCACAGTGGGGCGTCGCTCCGTTGGACGCCCCAGCGCCCCTGGAAAGTGGCGATGGTTTCGCAGTCCTCAGCCCTCAGCCACGGCGAGGTTACATAGGACGGCGAGGTAGCAGGCAGGCTGGCAGGCAGGCTGGAGCTAGGTAAGAGGCATGAAAGAATATAGGGGGGGGGAGGCGGGAGGAGGAGTAAGGCGACGCGACCCCGACTGCTCCGTTCGAAACGAGAACCCAAGTTAGGAGAATTGGGAATAAGAAGGCACGAGCCCAACGCAGGAGGGCTGGGAATACGAAGAGACCAAGTGTGGCATCGGCTGCCGAGGCCGGTGGAATCACAGGCGGGGCAGCCCCCGGCCTCCCCGCAGCCGGGCTCTGCCGCGCCACAGGGGGCGGCCGGGGCCCGGCAGCGCGCCTTCTGTCGCAGCAGGGGCCGGGCGCCAACGGGCTCGATGACAAAGTGTCTTCGGCCAGACGTAAGGGTGACCTTTCGCAGGAGCGGCCTTGGGTGCGGGCCCAAATGGGTCCCCTCATCACCGAACGCGCTGCGGCATCAGCGGTTTGCGCGCTCGGGTTTGGCTCTCCCGCGCCCCCCGAATGCCGCGCACCAAAGGTCACTCTTACCCAGGGTCACTCTTGCGTGTAGCCGGTGCCGCCTCGTGCGAATGTCAACCACGTGAGAACTGTGCGCCGATCGACTTAATCGCTTTCGTCACAGGATGGTCTCGGGCATGCCCTTTTCCCCCTTCAGCTGGGGTGCGGGATCGGGCGGTCAGCAAGCCACGTGAAAGGCATACGTATTCAAACTGCAATCAAACGTGTACCGACCGCGTCCATGCCGAAGCCGTGCCTCCCGTGTCAGAGGTAAGCCGAGGGAAGCTTTGCATGAGCAGTAGGTATGAACACACCAAGAGGTCACGCAGGTTGGACAGAGCCCACCGAGCGTCGCATCCAGCGAACTGGTGAGGTACGCATAATGAAAGAACCGCGCGTGACAACGTAGCCGTTCTGGGGACTCGAGCGGACGGTCTTCTTCGAAAGAAAGAAGAGAGCACCGTTGCTGTCGGTTGCTGACGCTGCTGCCGTCATAGTTGCTCTTCAACTCAACCATAAACGTATCGCTATCCGGATTTACGGTCGAGGCCCGTAATTCGATTTTCGGGAAGTAGACAGAACTGACATGACTGAACTGAAGCGCCAAAGCTGTTAGATCACAGTTATACGTCCAGGGGTGAGGATATTTCGCTGGCAGTTTTAAGCGAGGGGTGTGAGGATATTTCACCGGCAGTTTTCGGCCAGGGGGTGGGGATATTTCGCTGGCAGTTTTAAGCGAGGGGTGTGGGGATATTTCGCTGGCAATTTTAAGCGAAAGGTGTGGTAATATGTTGCTGGCAGTTTTCAGCCAGGGTGTGAAATATTTCGCTGGCAGTTTTAAGCGAGGGGTGTGGGGATATTTCGCTGGCAGTTTTCGGCCAGGGGGTGGGGATATTTCGCCGGCTTCGCCGACAGTTTGAGGCCAGGGTGTGAGGATATTTCGCAGGCAGTTTTGAGTTAGGGGGTTGAGGATACGTCGCTGGCAGTTCTAAGCGAGGGATGTGAGGACAATCCGCTGGTCAGTTTCATGCGAGGGGTGTGGGGATATTTCGCTGGTAGTTTTCATCCAAAGGGTGACTAGGTTTAACGGGCGCAGCCCAAAATTTGATTTTCGGGCAGTAGACAGACATGACAGACAGAACCGAACTGAAGCGCCAAAGCCGTTCTAAGGCAGTTTTAAGCGAGGGGTGTGAGAATATGTCGCCCGCAGTTGTACGCGAGGGGTGTGAAGATGTTCCGCTGGCCATGCTAAGCCAAATGGTGAAGATATTTCGCTAGCAGCTTTAAGGCAGGGGGTGGAGGATATTTCGCTGGCAGTTTGAAGCGAGGGGCGGTGAGGATATTTCGCTGGCAGATTTAAGCGAGGGGTGTGCGGATATCTGCCAGGGGAGAGGATATCTAGCTGGCAGTTTTCCGCCAGGGGCGGTGGTGATATTTCGCTGACAGTTTTCAGCCAGAGGGGGTGAGGATATTTCGCTGGCAGCTTGAAGTTTAGCGGGTGAGGATGTCTAGCTGGCAGTATCTGGGGGTGGATGATATTTCGCCGACAGTTTGAAGCGAGGGGGTGAGGATCTGTCGATGGCAGTTTTAGGCCAGGGGTGATGAGATTTCGCTGGCAGTTTTAAGGCTGGGGGCGGTGAGGATAGTTCGCTCGCAGTTTCGAGCGAGGGGTGTGAGGATATCGCGCTGGCAGTTTCAAGTCAGGGAGTTCCGAATATTTCGGTGGCAGTTTTAAGTCAGGGGGTGAGCATCTTTCGCTGGCAGTTTAAGCAAGGGGTGCGATAATACTTCGCTGGCAATTTTAAGGCTGGGGGCGAAGGGTACGTCGTTGGCAGTTTCAAGCGATGGGTGTGGGGATATTTCGATGGCAGTTTTCAGGCTGGGGGTGGAAGATATTTCGCTGGCAGTGTAAAGATATTTCGCTGGCAGTTTCAAGCGAGGGGTGTGGGGATACTTCGATGGCAGCTTTACGCCATGGGGGTAACGATGCTTCGCTGAGGGGTGTGAGGGTATTTCGCTGGCAGTGTGAATTCAGCCAGGGCGGTGAGGATATTTCGCTGGCAGTTATCGGCCAGGGGGTGAGGATCTTTCGCTGGCAGTTTGAAGGGGTGGTTGTGGGGATGTTCTGGACGCTTCGCGTATCCCCACCAGCCCATCCAGAAACGATGTCCAAGCGAGTTGGTGATCAGGGACGTGCGGGAGTAAAAAGGGGGACGGCCGAACCGTGCGAAGGAGGGAGGAGGAGAAGAAGGAGGCTGGCTGGATGGATGAGGGCATGGGGAGATGGAAGTTGAAACGGAAGAAGCGGAGGAGGAAATGGAGGAGGAGGAAGAGAAGGAGTAGGAGGAGGAAGGGGGAGCAGGAGGAGGGCAAGCAAAAGGGCCAGAGGTCTCTTGGATGCCTCTCGGGGCCTGTTGGGATATTTCTTGAGCGTTTCTTGGTGGCCTCTTGGGACGTCTTGGGGGTCTCTTGGCGGTCCTGGGGGGCTCTTGGGCGTCTTGGGTGCCTCGGGGGGTCCTCTTAGGGCCGTTTGGGGTCCTTTGGGGGACCTCCTGGGGACCTCTTGGGGCCTCTTGGGGCCATCTTGGAGCCATCTTGGGGCCTCCCGGGCGCTTCGTGGGGCCATCTTGGAGGACATCGATCAAAGAAGGGGGGGTCCCCGAGGCCAATATGGGGCCAAAACAAAAACATAACCAATGATTCTGGCTTGCTCGCAGAGGCCGTTTTGGGCGCCCTGACACCCCGCGACCGGCCCCTTCCAGGTCCAGGGGGGGGGGGGGAGAGGTCAACCCCTCCCCGAAGGGGAAAAAGGGGATTGGAAGAGGAAGCGCTCTAGACCAGCTACGCCCAAAGGGCTGGTGGGATTCTGCACGTCTGGGGGTGGAGGATATTTCGCTGCCAACTTCAGGCGTTGAGGATAATTCGCCGGCAATTTCAAATTTGAGGGGTGAGGATATTTCGCTGGCAGTTTTGGGCCAGGGGCGGCGAGGATATTTCGCTGGCAGTTCCAAGCGAGGGGTGCGAGGATATGTCGCTGGCAGTTTTAAGCGAGGGTGTGAAACTATGTTGGCGGAAAGGATATTTTCCCAGACGTAACCAAGCAACACAACTTGCCGCGCACGGGACGACGGGGGGGGATAGGTGAGAGGAAGGACGGAGGACGAGGACGAAGAGAGGGTGGCGAAAGGGGGGAGGTCGGAGGTAGGGAGTGAGAGGGGTCGTGGTCGATGCGGGCATCCCCGCGCCACGCGATGCAGTGTTGGGTCTTGCCCTGCCTGACCCAGCCGAGGGCTGCGCATGCACCGCGGTGCTGCGCCCGTATGTCTGCTCGCCGCTTGGCGTGGGGCTGGCGGAGGGCCAAGGGGCGAGTTGTTGTTTTGTTTGTCTCCCCTGCTTCTGTAATGCAAGTCTGCTTAAATCGATTTAGTCACCGAACCCAACTCAAAGAACTGATTCTGGAGCGTCTGGAACATGTCATTCTGAGCCTGCAGCGTGGTGCCGTGGTTCTTCTGGATCTCGCGAACCTCGTCCATTCCCTTGAGGATTATTGCCACCTGCGTAGTCCGAATCGCAAGAGTGTTCTGCTCATCTGGAGAGAGCGGCATGGCTGATCGAAACCGATCAATCACAGGGAGGAGTCGGGCTGGCCAGCTGAGGCCTGACCTTAGAAAGGACGCTCGAGCCGACCCCTCGGCAGCGTCCAAGCTCGAAGCGCCAGGGACGCACGCTTCGAACTTGAACCATAATGGCTACGGGTGATGATGATGATGGAAGATTATGGAAGATGACGATGATGATGATGCTGATGATGATGATGATGATGATGATGATGATGATGATGATGATGATGATGATAATGATAATGATGTTGTTGATGATGGTGATGATGATGCTATCGCTGATGATGATGGCGGTGGTGGAATGTATGATCATGATGATGTTGACGATGGCGACGAGGAGGAATCAGGGCGAGGAGGCAGGCAGGAAGGGAACGAGGCGAGAGGGCAGGACGGCGCGGGGCGCTGCGGACTCCAAGCGAGGACCGAGCACCAAAGGCTGGTGGGAAAAAAAAGGCGGTCGTCGGACTTCCCGGGCGCGTGCGCGGAGGAGGAGGAGGAGGAGGAGGAGGAGGATGAGGAGGAGGAGGAGGAGGAGGAGGAGGAGGAGGAGGAGGAGGAGATGGAGGAGGAGGAGGAGGAGGAGGAGGAGGAGGGAGAGGAGGAGGAGTGAGGAGGAGGAGGAGGAGGAGGAGGAGGAGGAGGAGGAGGAGGAGGAGGAGGAGGAGGAGGGAGAGAGGAGGAGGAGGGAGGAGGAGGGAGGAGGAGGAGGAGGAGGAGGAGGAGGAGGAGGAGGAGGAGGAGGAGGAGGAGGAGGAGGAGGAGGAGGAGGAGGAGGAGTCGCCGCCCGAAGAGC